ATCCAACAAGACCAAATAACAGAGAAGATGTATCTCTTTATGAATTTGTTGCTATTTACAAATTTGATAAAATAGGAGAAAATTGAGAAAGAGAATACAAACTTCAATCAAAGCCAGTCCTTCCAAACCATAAAAAATTTAGGCCTATGCAAGAAGCGGAAAGAGACGATTTTTATTACTCGCTAATATTTTTATTTGTGCCTTTTAGAGATGAGAGCACACTCATAATGGAAGGAGAAACAATGGAAGAAGCTTTTAGGCATCACAGAGAAGCATCTATACGTGGCATTGAGAATCATTTCAAAAAACTGCAGAAATTATTAGAAGCTGAACAAAATTGGAAGAGAATAGTTAATGCAAGAAATAAAGCTGGTTTCACTCAAGAACTTCTTAATAACAAGGAAGTTGATGAGCCACAATTACTGGGTGAAATAATGGAAGCAGTAGCTGATATTGCTGACATGCACATAAATGTACCTAATTTAACATTAAAGCAAAGAGAGGCAATGCTTAATGTAGATCAAAAAAGAATTTTTCATAAAATTAAGAGTCATTTTATAAGTCAAAAAGGACGTGAAGACTTATTAGAGAATGAGTCTTCAAGAGTACTTAGATTACATAGTATCAAACCGCTAAGAATGTTTATTAGTGGTATAGATGGAACTGGTGAATCGTTTTTGATAGAGGCAATAAAATGCCTAGTAGATGACATATGACACTTAAAAATTTAAAAATTATAATTGTAGATGAGGTATTAATGGTATCCAATATAAATCTAGCATACTTGCACATGAGCTTAGAAGATATATTTGGAACTGATGAATGGTGTGGATCCAAAAATATTTTATTTGTAGGTGACCTCTTACAATTGCCACAAGTTAATGATAGGCCAGTATTTAAGAAAAATTAGCAACAAACTAGTAAAAACTAGACTTGGAGCAGCAAATGCAGTTAACATATGGAAAGAAACAGTAGAATAAGAACTAACAATCAATGAGCGACAAAAATGAGAAGAAACTTTCTTTAAGATGCTTGATTCTGTTAGGCATGGCTGTCTGACTGATAAAACTATTGATATGCTTAAGAGTCGCGTATTTAAGGTTTCAATACAAAAAAATATAAGGAATTGGAAAGTAAAGGAACAAATCCTCCAATTTATCTATTTTCTAAGGTAGATGCCTGCCAAAAAATTAATGAATTAATGTTATAAAGTCTAGAAACTGAGAAAATAGAATCAGCATATGTTGATGTTGTTGATGAAAGTGGCAGCACAGCAAATTTTGACAAAAAACAAGAAAAAAATTAGAGAAACTAAAAGATCAACCTAGCAAAACAGCTGGTTTAGAAACAGTATTGTCTTTAGCTGTTGGCTGTAGAGTAATGCTAAGACGTGATATTGATGTGACTGTAGGAT